GGGGGGGGCTATGGGTGGGTGCCAAAGGGAAAGGGGAAAGGGGGTATGAAGATGATTTTATGTATGAAATACACAAAAATGCAGTAAAAAATTATTTTTTTAAAAAAGTATGGAAGTTGGCAGTCATTGACCAGTTCCCAACTGTTCTGGATTCTTACTGCAGAGGCGGGGCTGGATGGTGACCTGGCCATTTGGGGGTATTGTATCATGAGGTAGAAATGTCTGAAAGTAGAATATAGAGTCCATATTCCTTTTTGGTAGACTTTTTGCCACTTGAGTCTTTAGACAGTGTCCCAAAGTTGTTGCTTACGGCAATAGTGTGTTCTTTTTTTTTTTTTTTTTCTAATGTGTAGGTTTGTATTGTCTGCATGTAGGTAAGTGCACCCGTGTTGTACAATGCCTGTGGAGGACAGAAGAGGTCGTCAGAGCCCCTGGAACTGGAGTTACGTACAAGTTGTTAGCTGCTATGTGGGTGCTAGGATTCAAACCTGGGTCTTCTGCCAGAACAGTGTTCTTAACCACTGAGCCATCTCTACAGCCCCAGTGTGTTCTTTTTTATTACTGAATAATATCTCATGGTTTTGTTCACAGTTTAACCTTCTACCTGTTGAAGGACACCTAGGTTTATAGTGCAAGCTGCTGTGAACATTTGCATACAGATTTTTTATGAAAACATGTAAATTTTCATTTCTCTGGGATAACTGCCCACAATGGGAGTTGCTGGGTCATATGGTAATCCCATGTTTAGATTTCTGAGAAACAAACTCTTTTGCAGACTCTCTGTCCTCTTATATTTCCACCAGCAGTATAGGAACCCAAATATATTCATTTGGTTCACTAAACTAGAATTGGGTGGAGTTGTTTCTTTGGTCTGATGTTGGTGCCCTTTGGGGTAAATAAACAGATGTGTTTGTTCACTTCTCCCCATGAAAAGTCACATAATGATGGATCATAGATTAAAAGGTAAAGCATAAAACATTTAAAAAAACAAAAACCAGAAGTATGAATCAGTGATTACTTACAGGAACATGCACAATTCAAAGGCAGCTGCAGCACTGAAAAGCTCATCCCTACTGCCCCCACCCCACCCCCCAGGCAGTGACATAAAAACTGCATCCCTGGAGCTCCTACACACAGCGTGCAGGCAGCCCACCTGGCTGGAAAGTCCTCTCCCTATCACTGCTGCTTATAACCTTGTGACTCTTGGAACTTTCAAGACTCTTTGAACATTCCTGGGCCTCATAAGTATCATTTGTCTCCTAAACTTTATAGACTGTTCTCTTCCCTTTAGGAAAGCACATTTTGATTTGGAGGAAATAACCGTACAGCATCTATTTTGAGTAAATTTTTCTGAAGTGTGGGACTTAGTTCAAGATTTCTTAATCTAATATAGTTTTGGCTCAATATACTCCCTCTGTGCTATATTGACAAATATATTAATTATCTATTTTATTTCTATATGTTGTAGATCAACACTATAGTAAATACATGCTATTTTATACACCTGTTTAATACATTTATTTTTCTCTTTTTAAGTCAGCTGGGAATAGGATCCAGACTCTTGCATGCTAGGCAAGCATTCTGCCACTGAGTCACATCTTCAGCCCCTGACATTATTTTATTATTATTATTTTATTTTTATTTTATGTGCCTGCATGTAATTAAGTGCATCAATGTGTGTCGTGCAGTGCCCAAGAGGACAGAAGAGGCCATCGGATCCCCTGGAACTTGAGTTACAAACAGTTGTTAGCTGCCATGTGAGTGCTGGGCTTCGAACCTGGGTCTTCTGCAAGAAAAACCAGTGTTCTTAACCACTGAGCCGTCTCTCCAGCCCCAACTTTCAGCATTCTTACTATAATGTGTTACTTTGTGGATTTTGTGTCTTTAGCCTCTTTGGAGTTTGTTACCTATCCTGGGTATGCATATTCTGGGTAGGATTTGTCATCATCATTTGTTTATTTGTATGTACTAAATTTGGGTAATTTTCAGTCATTTTTAACTAATTTTCTGCTCTTTTCCCTTTGATGCTTAAAGGTGTCCCATAGCTCTGTAAGGACTCCATTCATTTTTCTTCATTCTTTTCTCACTGTTGCAGCAGAGAAAGTTTTATGTGTCTTTCTTCCCCTGAACATCATGACCACATGTATGACATAGATTTGATCCCAGTCTTAACTGAGGCAGGGACCCAGAGTTGTGAAATTTCTGAAGTCTTTCTAGACATCCCCACCCCACTTGAAGAGTGAAAGAAGCTTCTTTCTCAGGCTTCTTTGCCTTTCACTGAGCCTGTGTCCTGAGGACCACGTCATCCCTCATCCCCTCCCCAGGCATCTATCGTGTTTGCCTACTAGCTTGAGGGACTATTGTAGCAGTTTTCCTTTCTCCAGTTCCCCAGGTCACTTTTGTACAGTTTAGCACATGTGTCTCGGTGTCAGGCGACCATCTTGCTAAGCAAAACCTAGAGACTCAATCAAAACACACTCATTCTAATTTTAAAATGATTAATATCTATAACAGCTACATTTTAGGATTTAGGAAATCTCATAAATAACCTAAGCAGCTTAAAAGCAAGTGCTTCTGCAGAGACCTTTGCCCTGAAATCTGGTGTTCCTATTCTTGGCTCAGTGGGCTCCATTTGTCCTGGTCAGGTATGCATTTTCTGAACAGTGTGTTGTGGTAACTACTTCAGATTCACAGCATCCCACACAGGGGATGCTGGTTAAATATGACCTGATCAGCTCCATAGTTACCCTGTTCCTTCCAGAGGTGGGAGTAGAGATCAGGGCTCACTCTGCTGGCAACTCATCTGTTCACATGTGCCTTTGCAGGTCAGACATGTGTTGATATCAAAGACAATGTGGTGGATGAAGGATTCTACTTCACCCCCAAGGGGGACGACCCATGCCTGAGCTGCACCTGCCATGGTGGGGAGCCTGAGATGTGTGTGGCTGCCCTCTGTGAACGGCCCCAAGGCTGTCAGCAGTACCGCAAGGACCCCAAGGAGTGCTGCAAGTTCATGTGTCTGGACCCAGGTGAGACAGCGTCCCCTTTCAGGGCTAGAAGCTAGGTATCTTTCTGCTTCTTCAGAGATGGAGATTCTCAAGAGCTTACTGACCATGGCAGAGCAGTGGTGGCCGTATATCCTCACATGGTTGCCTCGGGCTTTGGTTTCCAGTTGTTCAAGCTCCCTATGATGTCCACCCTTCACACTGCCTACTTCTCACTCAGATAGACTTCACAAATGAGCTTGAATTTGAGCATGGCTGATTACCCACAAATCAACTGGAATTGGATTGGTGACTTCCAACCTATTTTCCGATTTTTTTTTTTTGGTGTTTTTTGAGACAGGATCTCCCTGTAGTCCCAGCTGTCCTGGAACTCACTATGTAGACCAGGCTGGCCTTAAACTCACAAAGATTCGCCTGCCTCTGCCTCCCAAGTGCTGGGATTAAAAGGCGTGTGCCACCATGCCTGATTCTGTTTTCCCTTTTTAAAAATCAGAATGAGATTTGAAATTTATGTCTGTATTTGAGTTCTTCCTCTTTGTATTATGGTAGGATGTAAAGGATAGTGAGAATAGTCCTTACCCATAGTCATCAGTGTTTACTAACAAAATCTAAGAAAAAGATAGACTGCCCTTGGTTTTAAGATAAAACTCACCAGTAGGTGGCGCTCTAAAGTGGACACTATGAAGTTTGGTTCAGGATGACTGTCCTCCTTGCAACAGAAGAGCATCAAGGAGGGGGTTGGAGAGATGGCTCAGCAGTTAAGAGCACTGATTCCTCTTACAGAGGACCTGAGTTCAATTCCCAGAGCCACATGGCAGCTAACAACGAGTAGGCAATACACTCATACATATAAATAAAAATAATAAATAAAATTTAAGGGGCTGGGGAGATGGTTCAATGGTTAAGAACACTGGTTGTTCTTGCAGAAGACCCGGTTTCAAATCCCAGCACCTCAAATGGCAGCTAACAACTGTCCGTACTGTAACTCCAGTCCCAGGGGATCTGACAGCCTCTTCTGACCTCCACAGGCATTGCATGACACGGGTGCACTTACCTACATGCAGCAATACATGCATACACATAAAATAAAAAATAAATAAAATAATATAAATTTTTTTTTTTAATTTTAAAAGGGGGACTTGGGTGTATTCTCAATGGTAGAGCACTTACCTAGCATGTGCAAAGCCCTGGGTCCTATCCCCAGTGCTGGAGGGGGGTGGGGCAAAGCAGGTCTGAGTCCTGTTCAGGCTCCTTAGCACCCATGGATGCTCTGTATGGCATCCTATTGGCTGCACATCAGAGCCACTGGTATCTCTGCATGAACTAAAATATCAAGAGAAGTCTGATTCAAAAGCATGAATTTCTTTTTTCTTGGGTACCATATTGTAAAAGTGATGTGGTAGGGATTTGTGAAAGCCCCTGGGCCTGTGGACCCTACAGAATAGAAGTTTGGGCAAGCAGATCATTTCCTCATTTCTCAAGGAGCCTGTAGAAGGAAGGCTAGAGCTGGATGTGAGGTCACAACAATGAGTGCTATCCCCAAGGAAAATGTCCTCATCATCCCTTCAGGAGGGCTGCTAGGTGGGAGACCAGCCATCCTTCAGAGGCTATGTTTGAGACTGGACAAAGGCAGGCACTCTGGCACATCCACCATGAGGCATTCAGTTGACTGCAGCTGAGTAAGTGCAGAGGCCATGTGTTTGACCAAGCCCACCTGCAGCCAGGAACTTGAAATCAGAGAGAGTAGCACTTGATCATCTTCCCACAGAATAGAAAGTTTTCTCCTTATATGAATGCATCCATACAGGGTTATGAAAAGCACCAGTTGGATGCTTGTAAAGGTTCCTGTGCCCCTGGCCACATCACTCCAAACTTCCAGCTTAGTTGTCATAGACGCCATTTCCTAGAAAGAACTCATCTGTACCAAGCGAGAAGTGGAAACAATAGAAATAGGGTCTCAGGAGTTATCAGTGATCCCTTTAACAAGGCAAAGGTGTCCACTCTCACCACCCTACTCAGCATTACTCAAGGTCAGAGTCATTGCCAGGGAAGAAACATCTTCAGATGCAAGGTTAATAATAGTCAGAAGTACATTGTATCATATATACTGTCTGTAACAGTTGAACATTGAAATTTTAAAAGAAAGTACCACTTACAATACACCAAAAGAATAAACTATTTAGTTGTAAGTCCTACAAACTCCATACACCTTGTAATGTTGCAAGCATAAAAACACTAAGTTAAAGGCCAAGCATGGTAGTGCACGCCTGTAATCCCAGCACTTGGGAGGCAGAGGCAAGTGGATCTCGGTGAGTTCAAGGCAAACCTAGTCTACATAATAAGTTCCAGGCCAACTGGGGCTACAGGGAGACCCTGTCTCAAAAAGACCAAAAAAAAAAAAAAAACCAAAAAAAAACCCCCACCAAATTAAGGAAAGAATTAAAGGCTTAAATAAAAGGAAAGATATGCTGAATTCATGGATCAGAATGCTCAGTATCATTAGTAGGTTAATTCTCCCAAAAAGGATAGTCTTTCAATAAATAGTACTAGAATAGTTAGATATCCATATTTTTTAAATATTTTTTTAATTTTTTTATTTTGTGTGTATGAGTATATTGCCTTCGTGTATGTAAGTGCCCCATGTTGTGCAGTGCCTGAGGAAGACAGAGTATTGGATCCCCTGGAACTGGAGTTATAGATGGTTGTTAGCCACCATGTGAGTGCTGGAAATCTAACCTGGATCCTCTGAAAGAGCAGCCAGTGCTCTTAACTGCTGAGCCATCTCTCCAGTCCCTGTATATCCATATTTTAAAAGACAAAACTTAATACAGTATATCCTATGATATTTAAGATTAAATCAAAATTCTCACAAACTGTAAATATTAAACAAATTTCTGGAAGAAAATATAAAGGAAAATATTTTGCCATCACATAGGCAAAATTTGAAATATGATATCAAAGCATGATCCTTAAAAGAAAAAGATTGATAAATTAGATTTCTTAAAACTTGAAATCTTCTGCCAGGCATAGTGGTGAATTCCTTTAATCCCAGCACTTCATAGGCAGAGACAGGTGGATCTCTGTGAGCTCAAGGTCAGCCTGGTCTACACAGTGAGTTCCAGACCAGACTGGGCTGCAGGGAGACTCTGTCTCAAAAAAAAACAAGAAAAAAAACCTTGAAATCTGCTTTTGAAAGATAGCTGATAGAAAAATGAAAAGACAAGCCACTTACTGAGAAAAAATATTTTTAAAATACAAATCAGACCAAGGTCTTATATTCAAAATGTATAAAGAACTTGAACTAGAAATGTAGCTCAGTTGTTAGAGTACTTGCCTAGTATGCATGGGTTTGAGCACCAGTACCACAGAATAGGGCATGGAGGTGCATGTCTGTATTCCCAACACTTGAAAGCTAGAGGCAAGATTAGAAGCTTAAGGCCTGGACTGAAGACATGGCTCAGCAGTTAAGAGCACTGCTGCTTTTCCAGAGGACCTGAGTTTGGTTCCCAAAATCCACATAGCAGCTCACAACTATTTGTAACCCTAGTTCCAAATAATCTGATGCCCTCTCTGGCCTCTGCATGTATGTACTTACATACATGCAGGAAAAACACTCATACACATAAAATAAAAATGAATCTTAAGGGGCTGGAGAGATGGCTCAGCGGTTAAGAGCACTGACTGCTCTTGCAGAGGGCCCAGGTTCAATTCCCAACACCCACATGGAGCCTGGCAGCCCTCCATAGCTCCAGTTCCAGGAGAATTCAAGGCTCTCTTCCAACCCAATACACTCATACACATAAAAATAATAAATAAAATATTTTTTTAAAAAATGAATCTTGGCCAGGTGAGGTGGTGCACACCTTTAATCCCAGCACTTGGGAGACAGAGGCAGGTTGGTCCCTGTGAGTTCAAGGCCAGCCTGGTCTACATAGTGAGTTCCAGGACAACTGGGGCTGCAGGGAGACCCTGTCTCAAAAAGACCAAAAAAAAAAAAAAAGAATCTTAAAAAGAAAAAGATGAAGGCCAACGTTGGCTACATAACAAGTTTTGAAGCGAGCCTGAGATATATGACACTTTTTCTTAAAAAAAAAAAAAAAAGGCAAAAAAAACACCCTCTTAAATAATAAGAAAAAAAAAACTATATTAAAAATTATTTTAATTGGCCTTCCTACCCGGACTCTGCATGGCGGTGTCCATTGCAGTGCGCAGCCTGGGTGTTGCACCGATGCTCGGCAGCAGCACAGGCCACAATGACAGACTACAGCGAGGAGCAGTGCAATGAGCTGGAGGCTCTGAAGTCCATCTACCCTGACTCCTTCACAGGCAGCTGTCTCTGAGCTATCCCCGTGTAGCTCCAGTCCTGTTCACATTCTCTCTCAGCAGCAGCACAGCTGTGCTGTGAGACTGTTAAGGGGATGAGTGAAGAGGGGTCTGAGAGTGTCCTTACCTGGTATTCTGCAGTTGTCTTGAGCCTGTCTCTGATTCCTGTCAACATCTCTACAAGCTTTGCAATAAGCAAAAGATCTTGATTTGCCTTGCTCTTGATCATTTTCTTATGAAACCTTTTGGGGAAAAGCTTGATTGCACTTTGATCCACCCTTCTAAAAACTAGCATTCCAAAACATAAGTGGACTCTCCTGACACTACACTTTTCTTCAGTAGTGCTTCACATGACAAAGTCCTGCTAAGTATTATCAGAAAATCCACCCAGCTTCACCATTACTATGACATCTGAGACTGGAGAAAATGATGAAATTGTCCAGACTACCCTTAAGTTTACATACAGTGAAAGATACCCAGATGAAACTCCCCTTTATGAAATATTCTCCCAAGAAAATCTAGAAGAAAACGATGTCTCAGACATTTTAAAATTACTGGCTTTGCAGGCCAAGGAGAACCTTGGCATGGTGATGATCTTTAGTCACAGCTGTGGAGGAAAAATTGAATGAAATAGTAGATCCTATAAAAACTAGAAGAGAGGAAGAAAAGAAACAGAAAAGGAAGCTGAAGAAACAGAAAAGAAATCGTTCCATGGCACTCCTGTTACAACTAAGAATTTTCTAAGTTGGAAGACCAAGTTTGATGCAGAACTCCTAGAAATCAAAAAGAAGAAAGACGAAGAAGTGGGGAAAAATAAATTAAGTGGGAAGCAGCTGTTTGAAACAGATTATAATCTTGACACATCTGGTATCTGGTTCTTGGAAGATGCTGGAAATAAGGTAGAGGTGGATGACTCCTTGTTCCAGAAAATGGATGACTTGGAGCTGGAGGATGATGAGGACAATCCAGACTACAATCCTGCTGACTTGGGGAGCAACTCCTCAAATTAATGGACTGTCCTGTCTCCAGAGAGGCTTGGCTGCCACAGCATCTGTGGCTATGCTGAGAGAGTTTCAATTTTCCTATTTTTCTAAGAAAAAACATATTTTTCAGGAGAATATTCTTCTGATACCTTTCATCATTGAGCTTAATAAACCAACCTTAAAATTGCAAAAAAAAAGTTTTTTAGTTGTATTTCATCAAAGAAGATAATAAGGATACTGCAAAGAACTTGAAAAAAAAAAGTTCACTGTCAGTCATGTGGTAAACAAATCCACACAGGGCAGAAGAGAAATAAAGCTATAAAACTGAGAGCACCAAGTGCTGGCCTCAGCACGGAGCAGCTAGGAACCTCTTGCTGCCTTGTGCCCTGGTACTTTGAGGCAAATCCCAAGGTCCCAAGAGCTGACCTGAGCTGAGGTGCCCAGCTGGTGGTTTAGTGGAGCCTACATTGGGGTCCAGGCCCTTGACCTCTGATCCCCACTAACCTTCATCTGCCATCTCTGACAAATTTTAAATCTATTACCATGGAACCAAAGTCTTAAAGCTGAGCTATTAGTCACTGGAGCCCTTTTTGCTTTGGTAGCGCTTACCTGGGTTTGTGGAATGGTACAGGGGTCCGATTGAGGGTTAGGCTGAGTGGACTGCAGGGCACCAGCAAGATGTGTCTTCTCTCCAGAAGCCCAGATGATAGAAGACATTGCCATTTGCAGTATCCCATGGAGAACCCCATGGAGGAAACTACCATATCACGAGTCTCCCTGGGACCTCTGACCTAGCCTCCAGCTCTGGGACAGCTCTCTTCTTTCTACCTCACTGCAGATAGCTTGGTTCTAGGGGACCAGTCAGGGTCCTTGAGCTTATGTTTAGAACTGATTTGCAGTTACTCATTGCAAAGAGGCTGCTTCCTTAGGTGCCCCCCTGGAACCCTGAACTGGCCTCCAGTGAACAGACATGTCACCATCCCACAGACAGGGATCCTGTAGGACCATCAGAGGCATCTGTATCAGCAGTTAATTGGTGAGAGGATGTATCTTTTTCACATATCCACCCCACAGTTGTAAGCAGCAAATGAATCTTTTGGAGACACTTTCTGGCCACATGGAAGGAGGGCAGGACCAGCTGGGTTATCTGTGTTGGTATAGATCAAGCTGGCTGGCAGGATTTGTCAGAGCTCTATATTCTGGCAACTCATATGTGGGTCATAGAGTGTCTTATCTGGGCTGTCCTTTGGAGACCTGCCTTCTAAGGCTATTACAGAGATTAGAATATACAGCGCTAGGTCTTCCTGAAATTCAGTAAGGTCCCTGCATATGCCAGGGTCTTCTTGCTTCTAAGGGCTGACAGGCTATTCCTCTTCCTTGGGCCACATCATAATCCCATGGGTCTGTGACTTCATGTGAGTGGCCATTGTCATCTAGATTGGGAGTACATTAGAAGTACACAGTTACAATGTAGGCACTTAACAGTATAAGCCCCATTCTTTTACACCTGATATCATACATGTCCTCTCCCTGTCACCATCAGCAGCTCATAGTAAGCACCTGAGAGACAGAGGTGTGCATCAGGGCAAAGCAACATGTCCGTCTTGGTGTGTTGATATACTAGACCAATGTTGAGTGGTGGGGCAGGTTGGTAATCAGATGTTTCTGGCCTCTACTCTAAATGATAGTAGTGTCCCCTCCCTAAATCATGACTACCAAAAGAATAGAAGGGCTAAGAAAGACTCTGCGCTGTTGTTGCCTTGGTCTCCAGTGCAGCAAGAGGTCAGTTTAGTAATCCCCTTCTCCCAAAACTCACCCAGCAAAGAGGGAGTTGGTGCCACCCCAGCCCTCCTGCACCTACATGGGTATGCAGGATATAGCTTGGAGAGGGAAAGGCTGCACTGCGAGCATGAGCACTGAAGGCTGCCCTTGGGTCTAAGTGCTTGATTGCGTGTGCCCAAGGCTGGTATGCAGTGAAGTTAGTTTTCTGGGATGTGGCTTGAAAATTGAGGTAACGGACTCACAGCATTGTGAACAATGCCCAAGTTTACTACTCTCCTTTATGAACCTTGGCCCTGCCAATTTTTGGAAAACCCTGTGTAGCAGCAGCACCCTGTCCTCCCTGCAGCCTGTCAATGAGTTGTAAACACAAATCTAGATATATCTATATAGCCTCTTCTCCCTATCTGCCACTGTTACACACACTCCAAAGACACTTGGTCCCTGCAGCTATACCAGTACACACCAGTCTCCTAGAAGTACTAATCCTAGAACAGAAGTCTCTACTTCCTTTCACAGTAGCAAATTGGAGCAGCATTTCACACAGTGACCACCTAAGACCTACAGCTCTTGAAAGCACTCAGTCAGTAAGGGAGAAAACCAAGGGGCCAGAGAGCCACCCTGTTGGAGAGCAGAGCAGAGGCACAATGAAGTGTTATCCTCTAATGATCCTCCTGAGTTATAGTCCCTCTCCTGCTGTCAGTGTTGTCACAGTGCCCTCAGTTTTAAGCAGTTTCATTTTGCTTCCCATCCTAAGAAATTGCCAAGTGTAGTGCAAATAGCTATTGAAGGGGTGCCTCAGTCAACGCAAGGCCTCAGCATATGCTGCACTTGTGCTAATCCCAGCCCTAGCTCTACAAGCTTTTCTCAGAGCAACTGCTTTCATTCCTCCCCACCCTCCTCACAGATGGTAACAGCCTGTTCGACTCCATGGCCAGTGGGATGCGCCTGGTCGTCAGCTGTATCTCCTCCTTCCTCATCCTCTCACTGCTACTTTTCATGGTCCACCGGCTGCGCCAGCGGCGCCGGGAGCGCATCGAGTCCCTGATTGGAGCAAACTGTGAGTGTGCTCTCCAAGGACCACAGTGATAATACCCAGGTCCTCCTAGGTCTTCAGGTCTCCCCTGTCCTGAGTTGTGTCCCCTTCAAGGTGGAATCTGTGGTAAGGTGCAAAAGGAAGTAGAGGAGGGGTGTCCCTCTGCAACCACATACCTGGGGACACCTGAAGAGCTGTCCATGGACATCAGGAAAGTTGGGGGCAGGCTGCTAACAGCTAAAAGGAACCTCACCTGCTGTGTGAAGGGTACAGGCGTTAAGGCCTCCCATCACTAATTACAGCTTTGATTTCTCCCTGACACACCATGCTCTCTAAGTTCCACGATGGACAGAACACAAAATACCCAGAAGTGTGTTAGAGCTGGAGGCTCTAGCGGAGCCAAGAGTGGCTCTGGCAGTCAAGGGACAGGACAGAGGAATAAGTTGCATATAGGTGGGGTGAGGACACCTTGGTTTGAGAGACCTGGGGAGGGAAAGTTCTAGCCAAAGGAGGGTATCATGTGAGATGTTAGATGTGACCAGTAAGTGAACAGCTGGTTACAGGAGTGTGACATTGGGGTGGCAGGCTCAGCCTCGGGAAGGAGGCTCAGGAGTCAGCAACCTGCCTTGAAATCACACACCTTCCCTCTTATTTCTCTATTTCAATGGCTCAGTGCACCATTTCAACCTTGGCCGGAGGATCCCTGGCTTTGACTATGGCCCAGATGGGTTTGGCACAGGCCTCACCCCACTGCATCTTTCTGACGATGGGGAAGGTGGGACTTTCCATTTCCACGACCCTCCACCTCCCTACACAGCTTACAAGTATCCAGACATCGACCAGCCGGATGACCCACCACCACCCTATGAAGCTTCCATCAACCCAGACAGCGTGTTCTACGACCCTGCAGGTGCCTGTCCACTCCAAGGAGAGGGAACATAGAGTTATCAAGTGATTTCCTGGAATCTAGCCCCCCCTCCCCATTTCCTTCTGGCTGCCTTTTTGGTCTTCACTTTAAGGTGCTTCCCAACATTGCCCCTGCAGGAAGAGGTGTGGTCTTGGCCTCCTCCAGTGGTCTGTTGAGAGAGTTCTGGGGAGGCATGGCACAGCTCTTTCTCCTTCTCCCTTGAGAACCCATTAGCAGATGGGCAGGCTCAGGACCTCTCAGCCTATGTCTGTGAAGTAATGGGGGCCAAGCAGTGGTGGTCATTCAGACAGGCCTGGCCCTGACCCAGACCTAGAAGCTTGTTGCAGATGTGGTAAACTGAAACACCACTGTAACAGTTCCTCATGTCATGTGGCAAAGCAACCCTATGGGACTGGTCAATTGTGTTTCCCATCTGGCTAAAAGTTGTTTTTCCTAAGACTGTATAGCTAAAAAGGGATATCTAGTGTATTCCTTCCACACCTAGCCCACTAGACAGGTGACCTGTCCTGTTCCTGTGTGTAACATCCCTGCAGTAATATTGAGGCAGTGCCCAGCCCAAGGCAGGCTCCTTACATGTAGGCCTGAATGCTGAGGATCCCATGCTTACACTACTGTGTGGTCTAGAGCTACAGAAAATACTTGAATTTGATCCCTGTCTTCAGAGCAGATTGTCTGAGACCATTGTCAACCATGCTGTGGTTGGGGCTGAGTGTAGGTCAGTGACAGTGTTTGCTTAGCATGCTGGAGCCCAGGTTGGATCTCCAGAACTACAAAAGGGTAAGGGCAGAAGATAAGCTTTCTGCCAAGACTGCCACTAGATGGCAGCAGAACCCCAATATCTCTACCCACCAGACTGCAGGGGATGACTGGGGCTTCTGGAGAGTGTTCGGGGAGTTAGGATGGGGATAGTACATAGCCAAGGCCCCTGGCCACCAGCTTTCAATAGTAGCCCACAGTGATAGACAGGAAAGATTCAGGGAATGGATTGTGTCCCCTCCCAGAGGTCTGGCTTTCTGCTGGCACTGGCTATCAAGGCTGCCTGCTCGCACCCAGCCTCGCTTGCTCTAGTTGCCACTGTTCTGCTGCTGTAGCCCTGGGAGTTCCATCCAGAAGCTTCTCACTACATGTTCCTCCTGAGTCTGAGGGGACTTTCCTCTGGCCTCCCTTTGTTCTGGTGAATCTTTGTCACTTAATCTCACCCACCACAAATTACAGTGACAGGACAAACCTGTGCCTACCAGAGCAGAAGGTCCCCTAGGGCCTGTATGCCAGTCAGGGAGTGTTCAGGCAGGAGTATCCCTAACCTGTCCAGCCCCACCACATCCCCTGTGCCAAGCCCTTATTCTGACACTCCTTTGGTCTTATACAGATGACGATGCCTTTGAGCCCGCAGAGGCCAGCCTGCCGACCCCAGGGGATGGTGGTATTGAAGGTGCATTGCCCAGGCACCTAGAGCAACCTCTGCCTCCTTCTGGAACCTGCTTGGCAGATCTGGAAGACTCTACTGACAGTAGCAGCGCCCTGCTTGTGCCCCCTGATCCTGCCCAGAGTGGAAGCACCCCAGCTTCAGAGGCGCCACCAGGGGGCGGACGCCACCCCCATGGCTCCCTCAACACCATGGTGTAGACAGCCCAGCTCACAGCTCCAATGGGCTAGGAGCATGTTTCCTGTTGAGAAGATACCTGTCCCTGTGGGAAACTTGAAGGGGCCCTGTCATAGCCTGGACCCTACTCCACTGCCACATACCCACCAGCAGCGGGTGTGTATGTAGAAACTGAAGCCAGCCTCCCTGAAAGGAGCAAGCACCTGCACTGACCTTTCCCTAGGGGCTTCTCAAACATGCATAGCTTTGGGTCTCTGTCTCCTTTTTAAATGGCAGAGTGACACAGGTGTTCAAAACCACACATTTTTGAGGAAGGGAATAGAAGGCACTGGGCTGCACTCACACCAGATACATCTTTGGGTGGGCTTGGCTTATCGCAGTGTCCTACCTACAAAAGCCTACCAGCCAGCTAACAACCAGTAATTGAGCCCCAGCGGATGGAGAACAGGGCCACCACTGTATGTGGTGCAGCAGGGGCATCTGTTGACTTGGTGGTATTGGCATTGGGTCTGCCTCTAGGGAAAGCCTTTGAAGCTGCTGCACTGGTTCTGGGACAGCCTCTCCAGGTCCAGCTATGACCATCGAGGTGCCAAGCCCTGAGAAGGTAGACCTGGAAGGAAAATGAACATACCACCCTGTTTCTAGCTCTGCTTGGAGGCCATCTCTGTGACAGGGAGCCACAGCTCACCCCTACCAGCTCTCCATGGCATTGCTCTGCATGGCTTCCCCCAGGAGGAGGTTCTAGACCTGTGGAGGGTTAGGGGTATGCTGGCTTTTCTCTGCTATACCCTAGATCCCTTGGCTCTTCTTCCTGGTGAATGGCCACTGGGTCCGACCTGCCCCCTCCTCACCTTGTTTGTGCCATAAAGGGTTGTTTCTTTGGGAAGAGGAATGGCTCAAATGAGCATCCTGTGCCATGTCATCTGAGGATCCACTTCTCACCCCATGACCACACTGGAGCCTAGCATCTGCTGGCCACATACACACCTCCATAGCACTGGGTACCGGTGGCTTTTTAAAACCTGAAGGGCCCTATTGCCAGCTCCCTGTGGAGACCTGGGGTCTTGGCTCCTGACACGGGCCTTTAGCATTTCTAAGGTTTGGAGGTTAAGCGGGTTCTGTGCGATTTTTAGCACATTCAATCTTTTCTACATTGAGTGTCTGAATCTTTTCTGTGTGTATTTGTGTGTACTTACATGGCCAAATGTTTGCAATAGTGGTGGTTCATAGGAACTCAGGGTGGGGCCCCACTGTCCAGAGTTAGCTGTTTGACTGTGGGCTGCTCCAAGACAGCTGTGTTTGAGCTTCTGCCCTGGCCATGTCAGTGGCGCTGCAACCTTTGTCCAACTGAACAACATTGGTAGGTGTGACCAAGACCTGTGGTTCTTTGGTGCTTTGCATCAGTAGACCAGCCCCGCCTGGTTTTAGGTACATTCTTATACTGGTTGGAAACATTTTTCCCCCACTTCCCATAAGAAGGAGAATCTTCCAACCTGACCTGTGTCCCAGAGCTGGCTGGAGGTGTAAGCTTTGTCTTTGAACAGCCTGTCCCATGGCTGGGCCTACAGGGCCAGCTGGTGCAAGCAGTCCTCCATTAGCCAAAGGGCTCTTGCTTCCTATACCAATGTGAGGGCAGCAGGAAGTTCATCATGCCTCCAGTGGATGCTGGGTAGCCACAGTCCAGGGCAGCAGTGGAAAATCATACTGGTGATGGGTCACTCAGAAGACCCCTAAGGACCACTGGCAGAGCCTCAGAAGGTGATATGCATGGGACTGTGAAACTTCCTTTGGGGACCAAAGGACTGTTGGGGTTGAACTGGCATGTAAGAAGCAGAAGGGAAGAGGGTGGCCTAAAGTGGACCATGGTACTACAGAGGTAGAAGTATCAGGACTGACCAATGTGCTCAGAGTTAACTGATGGTAACCTGGGCACTCAGCCTAGTGAGCCCTGAGGCTGGATCGAGGGCCTGTGTATAGGACACTTCAGACTGTTGGCACTGCAGTTCCAGGAGCTGGGATCTGCCTCTGTCCACCATCCTGTCTGCCAAATCTGATTGACTAACCCCAAGGCCAGCCAGCATTTGCTGAGACTTATGTTTCCCTGCCTGTCCCACAAGACCCCCGGAGAGACAGGCCAAGCTCCCAGGAAGCCCCTTGCCACTGTTTCTGAGAGGCCAAGTGTCCTCTGACCTGCCTTGAAGTGGAATTTGATACTGTACATTGTCTCAATGCCTGTTTTTACATTTTCCTTTCACTAAGGGTTTTAGTTTGGGTGTATTTTTGGTCGGGTTGGCACTAATTCTTTTCTTAAGATGCTGTGAGAACCATTTCATCCAGATGCCAAATAAACTTGTGTTATGGAAAAAGCATCGTCAGTCCTTGGTGTGGCCTAGCCCCACGGCCAGGACTCCCCTGTTTTCAGTCCTTGCGGGCATCCAGCTGAGCTTGGAGCTTCCAGGCCTGGTGTGTGGCAAGGCATCACCCTGGGCTCCCTCTGGCACCCACCCCTGCTGTGCCAGGCCCTGGCTGCTGCCTCAGAAGTGTTGCTTGATTGAGGGGGTCCATAACACTGATGTGACAGGGCTGGTATATCCTGACCACTGATGGCCAGTGTGAGTTAAGCTGGGCAGGGAAGGGTGTGGGACTTGGCCCCTGGCCATCCAGGTGGCTGTACGCAACCCCTCCCTGCAATCCAGAACACCTGGGTGGTTTGCTGTTTGTTTGGGGGTTTGGGTGTGTTGGTTTTTTTGAGGCAGTGTCTCCCTGTAGCCCCAGTTGGTTTGGAACTCACTATGTAGACCAGGCTGGCCTCAATCTCACAGCAATTCACCTGCCTCTGCCTCCAGCGTGCTGGGATTAAAGGTTTGTGCCACCACGCACCTGGTTTTCTAAAGCAGTCCTGGCTAAGTCAGGCAGGTTATCTGTTGGTTCTCAGAAGGTAGGGGCTGACTACCAGACAAGACTGGAGCATCCCTCTACCTTGAGAAGGGATTTGGGCCTCTGGGACTTTACTCATCTGTACAGTGGATTAGATGATCTTGTCTTTCCAGGGAGTCCTGGGGCACTAAGGACTAGCATGGCCTGTTGATTTGGACTGGGCTCCCTGATAGGGCTCAGCTTGTGAAAAGTAAGGGGGGGGGGAGTTGCATCCACTCTGGCACTCCCAGCCCATGGAGAAGAGTGGGTATGAAATGCTGGGACCCTGGAGGGTTCATGCAGAAGAAAGGGTTGCACCATCTGGAAACTCGAACAGTCTCCCAGATCCTGTTCTGTTCTCTGAATACTGTCCTTTTATATATTCCCAGTTCTTGATGCAGAGGACAAGGGGGATCTTAGTGACAATCCCTGGAAGGGGTTCTCAAGCTTACCCTCCTCACTTAACCTTTCCCACTAGCTTGGGGAGTACAATGACATAACGGGCCACTATGAAGCCTGGTGAGTTGTCAGGGTTGGAAGGAATCTAAGGGTCCTTTGCAGGGATGGGAGCTTCATTCTATCAACACATCTCCAGCACCATGGACAATGCCCTGTCCCCATTCCCTCAAGGAAGAGCCTGTTCCTCTGGTAATTGATATATATTTTGCAATGCTGGAGATGAACGCAGGGCTACAAGCTAAGCAAGTGCTCTTCCACTGAGCTATACCCTCCCTTCCTCAGAAAACCGGAAAGAGATGCTGAGTACAGAGGCTCCAGAGGGACAGGCCTCCAGCCCACTCTCTGGTTCTCATTGTTCAGATCTAGTCATGCTCACCTCACAGGCACATGGTGCCCAAGTGCAAAACTCATTTCTGGCAAGTCTCACCATACCAAGAAGCCAAGGAGCCAGAGGAGAGTGGCTGGGGCTTGGGCATGGGGGCTTGTGCAGCTGCTGTGTTCCCCACCACACACCCAAGACCTTTGGGTACAGTAGTCCTTGGAAAGAGGCACATCAGTAGGCTGTAGACATGGAGTTGGACTTGGGGCAAGGATGGGAGTCCCAAGCTTGTAACAAGGCAAGAACCATCCTCCCATGCGCCCTTCTATCCTAGCCCCTTAAGTCTTGGACACTGAGATCTATGATCTCCTTACCCCTTAAACTAATTTTTTGATGGTGACTTTAGCCTGTCATTCCTGGTCGCTACCTCCTATTTCCTCTGCTGTGAGAATAATCAGACACACCTCTCAGGATTAATGCCATTATGCTGCAGCCCTAGAATCCAAGCTCCAACCCACCTACCCAGTGGTGCCACCCACTCCAGCCCCTAATTTGTCCTCTCTAGCCCACCCCAACAATGAATATGTAACACTCCCCTCCCCCCCAGACAGCCTGACTGCAAGTATCTCAACCACTTTCTAGTTCTCCTGAGCCATAGCTGAGACTGAATTATGCGGGCCCTGGGTTTCCTGCTGTCCCTTGCCACGCATGCCATGCAACCGGTGATGCAGTGGGACTCCAAGGGTGAGCACAAAGCTCTGCCCATGTGATCTCAGATCTGCCCAACCCCACGGCTCTCCACCATCCATTTATCCACTGGTGCTGGAGCAAGCTTGGGAGGAGATGTGGGGTGGATGGGGGCAGCCTCTGTGCTGCCTCACCTGGGTAACCCCCCCCCCCATTCCTGGACTGTGACTGGAATGAAACTTGAAGACGGCTCACATGGAACTTCTCTCTGCTTAGTCCCCTGCCCACTGTCCACAGGTGCCTGGTGCTACGACTCCCAGGATCCAAAGTGTGGTGAGGACAGTTGTTTGAGGCTATGTGGATCTGTCTGGTCCCTGATGGCTCCTGTGCTCCAAAGGACTGGGCAGCAGGCAGCAGGTGTGTTGTGATTATCCTTGTGTATGTGTGTCTGGATCTGCTGTGAGTGGTCAGGGGCTTTGAGCCTATGGTGTGGCAAGCCCAAGTGTATGTGTGGTGGGGTCCTCAGCATGAGTATACAACCACATCCCAGATTCTTCTACCATCTCCCTGTGAGGCAGTCTGACTGCAGATTTGGTGGGTAGGTCAGATGGGGGTCTGAGAGTCACCATGACCAGGTGTGAGGGAGGAGGGAAGACATTCCTAAACTGGAGCTATTATTTGGGTATATGGGGCCCCTCCTAAGTGCACCCCAAAACTGCCTACTTGACCCCCATAAATCGCATACCTTGTTTCCTCAGGCCCCACCCGTTGGAAGGAGCTAGCACCTGCCTGTGAGGGCCCAGACCAGTCCCCTATCAACATTGACCTTTGCTTGGTCCAGCGAGATGCCACTCTTGGGCCTTTCATCTTTCAAGGCTATGATTCAGCACCTCCAGGCCCTTGGACCCTGGAGAATGATGGCCATACAGGTCAGCAGCATAGAGCCAGAACCCCCACATAGTGGCTGTAACACAGGGATCAGGACATACACAAGAGCTGAGACATCAGTCAAGAACACAGAGGTTAAGTGTCCCCTACAAATGGTATACAAGAATGGGACAGGCATAGGAATCAAAATCTCTAGGAACAGGTAGAGAAGGCTCCACATACATTGTAGGGGGTGGGGGTCAGGTGCCATGGCCCTTGAGAAGAGTCAGGTCACTCCTAGATGTCAATACGCTGGAAGTCACAACCTTCACTCACTGTTGGAGCCAGTTTGAGTCCTATAGCAGGTGATGGAGAGGATGCTGGGGAGGAATAGAGTGTCATATGCTTCCACATCGTCAGTGTTACTCCGAGTAAACGCTGGTCTGCAGAACTGCCTGTTGATTCAAGGGGCTGGCTTCCATCACCTGTGTACCAACTGCTGCAGTTGCATTTCCACTGGGGGAGCTCAGGGCACACAGGCTCTGAGCACAGCCTGGATGAGAAGCACTCCACTATGGAGGTGGGTTGAGGACTTCATGGAGGTGAAGAGGGGTGGGAGACAGAGACAGCTGGAGAACACCCATGGTCTGTACTTCCCTAGATGCATTTGATCCACATGAACACAGAGTACAAGAGCATGGGAGAGGCACGAAGCCATCCAAATGGGCTTGTGGTGCTGGCTGTCCTGCTGGCAGTGAGGGAGGGGCTGTGAAAATCCATATGTGTTTCCATAAAAGAGGGTCTTGGGATTGTGTGGAGGGATGGGGGTGGGGAAGCTTTAGAATTTGTGGGATGGTTCATGGATCTTCAGATCTAGAAGACTTGTCAGATCTTCAGGGCCCCATAGAGATGGAGGAGAATTGGAGATCTGGTGACCTGCAGGGTCAGTGGGAGGTGACACCCCCCCCCCAATCTCCCAGACCCACCAACTGAGAGCTTCCCACTGGTGTCCCGGCCACTCCCATCCCACCTTTGAAAACCTACACACACACACACACACACACACACACACACACACACACACAGCCAGAACCTCAAAGCCCTTCTCACTGGAATCCTACCCAGAAGGAGGACGGGGACAATACCAACTTCTCTGCCATTGTGTCTGGCCTGAAAAATTTATCTTCACCTGGTAAGGAGCTGTGGAGTTGCATCTGGGCTGAAAGTTATGGGGCCGGGGACAAACGGGGGAGACAGATTCCAGGCTCTCACTTTTGCCACCTAGGGGTCTCAATCAATCTGACATCCACTTTTCCGCTGGCCTCACTGCTGCCTTCAGGGCTCTTGCCCTACTATCGATACTCCAGGTCTCTGACCACACCAGGCTGCGAGCCCGCGGTGCTCTGGACTGTCTTCGAAAACACTGTACCTATTGAACATGCGCAGGTGGGGGGGGGCACTGCCCCACCCGAAGCCAAGATGCCCTCCTTCCAGCAGCCTCAGCCACCCCACTGCCCACCCCTCCTTGACCCATCTTTGCCCACTCTCGGGTAGCCCAGTTTCAGACGGTGCCCCAGGCTGGACCACTAGGTTTGCGTGTGGGACTGCTCAGGGATAATTTTCATCCCCAACAGCCTCTTGGAAGACACAGGGTATCAGCCTCCCCGGGAGCCTCCATCCGGGCAGCAGTCCCACTCCCAGCTTCTACCTTGATTGGAATGATGCACACAGTGATCTTGGCCTAATGTGACTAGGAGCAGGGGCTGGGATGAGCTGCCTGACTAGAAAGGGGTATAGGGTGGGGGAGAATACTGCCCTAACCCCTCTGCAGCCTCAGTGTACCTTGTCCACACAACCACGAAGCTCCTGAGTGACCCTCCTTTAGTGCACCACAATCTCAGAACTGCTTCCAGAACCTCCAGAGACTCCCTCAGACACCTCTGGGAGAGAAGGGCCTCACATCCAGCCTACACATCTCTGAATCCCCTGGTCAGAGGGAAGTAAAAAAGTCAGCACACCTTTAGCCACCTCTACCCAAAATTACACGTTTTATTTAAAAGCCAAGCTGGGCGACCAACCTAGGGTCAGTGTGCCCAGTTGAAATGACGACCCTGGCTGAGTTTCCAAAGTGCCTAAGAAGCTTCAGACTCCAGGCTGGGCTGCAGGCCCGGCTGAACTAGTTGGTCCTAATGACAGGCAGCAAGCTCGGTGAAACCATGCCTAGTGACACTCTGGGGAATTAGGCCGTGGAGTCTGAGTATAGGACAGTATTTTCTAGAGAAGCTGGTGTCTGGGCAACGTCTAGGAGTAACTGTCCAACAAACAACGCTGAGTCCGCGGGACACTGACATGGCACTATGGTGGGAGGGTGGGCCCCATTATCAGTAGAGTGGTGCTGGCTAGCAAAGTGGGGTCCAATTCACGCCATGTGAACTGTATATTGAAGTGGTACCATCGCCGCCACCCATTTGTCTTTAAATTCGTTACACTGTGCGTGGCTGCCACCATTGTAGCGCTGAAGGCTTGTCTCCTCCCTAGGACTTTGAAGAAAAGGAACCTGCACCTGCCTCCTGGCTGTCTCCCTCAGGTCCAGGGCCAAAAGGGGCTCTATACCTCAGTTCCTGGTGGCGGTCATCCACAGGGCAAACCATCGGTTCACAGCCTCTCGCTCCCACTCTCCAAATACCGGAGCGCGAGCAGGAGGTGCGTGGGGGCTCTGCTCACTGGGAACGCGCTCCAGGCGAAAGGCAATTTACCCCCTTCCCGGAACACCGGAGCCCCTCGGGCTAGCTGGAGTCCCGCACACGCCCTTGAAGCGCCCCCCGCCTCCGCCCCATCAGTCTCCGCCACCTTGTGGGGCCTGCGGGGCCCCAGGCGGTACCGGAGTTTTCTTGTGGTTCTTCCGGGCTGGGACTCGGTTGGTCACGCTGTCTGCAGGACTGTCGGAGCTGTTGTCCGCGGGCCTGGAGGCCGCAACAAAAGCGTTCACGGTGCCAAGCGCCCGCAGCAGGGCGGGACCGCGGGGCGCGGC